AGAGAGAGAGAGAGATATGAATGAAGCCTCTTGTAGCCATTCTCAGCCATGAATGAAGTCATGCACTGATGTCCGCTCTGTCCGGCCATGCTGCTTGGTGCTGGTACAGGATGGATGGTTAGAACAATTCGGGAAACTGGAGAGGGGCGATGCACAGTGGCGGTGGCAGTGAGCCACGGGTCAGCTGGAAAGGGGGAGGCCTGCCTGGCTGCCCCAGGAGAACCCAAGTCCCTCTCCTGCTTGGGCCAGACTGCCAGGGACAGGCCACTGCCTGGGAATTTGGAGTGTGTTGGTCCAGCCTCTCCTGCCGCAGGTCTGGGAGCTGCTGGGCGGGCTGCCCTGGGAGGCCCGGGTGATTCTCTAGTCTCAGGCACGGAGGGAGCTGCCGAGGGTGTGGTTCGTGTAGACTGACCAGGGTCCTGGACTTCAGGGGAGGCCTCGTGCTCCTGCCTTGGAGGAATGTTCTGTGGTCAGCGAGGCCAAGGTTGCAGGAATCTGGTTCCACCAGAGGCTGGGAGAGTCAGAGACAGCAGCCAGTACTGCTCTGGTCTCCTTTGCCAGGAAAGTGGGATGTGGCTTCCGGGGTGGGGTGGGGGTGTCCCACCCAGGGCAGGCTGTGGGGAGTGGCTGCCCTGTCCTCAGCGGCCTGTTTTAGCCACTTCCCCAGAGCTGAGTCACTGTGCTTAGCAACGCTGCCTCCCAAAGCTGCAGCTCCCTTGGGCAGATCTTTCGGGGGACACTCGGGCCACCTGAACTGTCCCCAGGACTGGCCTGGGCCACCTGCTTATACTTGAACTCCATGTTCCATCTCCTCACCCTAAAAGCATTCTGTTAGAAGCTTAGGGTGACAATGTCACTCAGGGGCCTAGAACAACCCGGCGAGTTCTTGCCAGGCCTTAAGCCCGGCCTGTCTGATCTGCACTCTTAGCTCCAGAATCCTGGGGACCTGGCCCCTCCCCATCCCCAGGACTGCTGAGTCCTACAAGACAGGCAGGTGGCCATCTAGGCCCCAACTCTCGGGACGTTGTCATGCTGGGTATTGGAAGATGGTTTAGTTTTGCACAAGCCGCAAAGCCTCCCACCCCCAGGGAGTGAGAATATAGGCCGCAGAGGGCACTGGCCAGACCCGTCGCTGTCTCCCTGGGGTGTTGGGCCGTGGAGGGTCCGGGCAGTCCTGAGGCTGGCCCCTCTCACTCTGCTCTGGAGCCCTGTCCACAAGAATGTGAGAAGAGGGGTTAACGGGAGGGCGGGGCCCTCCCTCCCTGCAGCCCGGACACCCAGGCCACCGGGCTTTGCATCATCCCCGCTGGTCCTGGGCAGCTGGGCCTGCGGTTTTCGTTCCTTTTCTCGCACTTGAACAAGCACTTAAGATCAGGAAACCACAGGCCTGAAGTTCCTTCCTGAGCCCCGGGACTCCTGCCCATTACGCTGAGACCCTTATGCAATTCTGGAAGTTTACGTCGCTGCGTTCCCACAGTTCTGACCCTTTCCGCTCCCTGCTGCCCTCCCCCCACCCCCAGCCTCCCACCTGCCTCTCCCCTCGTTTCTGTTTACCTGGTGAGTGGTACTTGCTTCTTTTTTTACCTCCATATTCTTGGTTCTGGGTAGTGGTTCTAAGCCCACGACGTTGCTCCCCCCACCCCCCCAGATATTTAGCATTTGTGGAGACATGTGGTTGTCCCAGCTGGGAAGAGATGCTATTGGTATCTAGCAAGAAGGGGCTGGGGATGTTGCCAAACGTCTCAGCACGTGCAGGACAGGTCCCACCACAAAGGATGACCTGGTTCCAGGTCTCACCAGTGTTGGAACCTGCTCAACGATTGTATAAGAACTTTCTCTAGGCAGCAGCCAGGCTCTTCCTTTCTCTGGGCCCCCCACCACCCCCTAGTCCCAGCCAGAAGTGGGGAGGGCTGCTCAATTAGTAACGGTAACTGACCAGTGATGCTACCCCCCAAAAGCCAGACAGAAGCCTGGGATGGAGTGGAAAGAGCACTGGGCCTGGAGCAACAGTGAGGGGGTGACCCCAAGGCCAGTACTTTTCTTGTGTCTAGTTTAGGAACTATGGCCCATAGGCCAAACCCGGCCCACCACTTGTTTTTGTAAATAAAGTTTTATTGGGACATAGCCACACCTCTTTGTTCACATATAGTCTACGGCTGCTTCCCTACTGCAGAGATAGTTGTGGAGCTGGGATGAAGACACCTTTAGCCACTAAGCTGAAAGCCTCTATGGTCTGGCCCTCTGTAAACATGTTTGCCAGTCCCTGGTCTAGATGTTTCTGTCTAATTGTTGAGAGGTTCGCTCGCAGGGCGTGGGCAGGAGGGAGGGTTCAGGTTAGGGTAGAGGAAGCTACTTTCCTAAGGATTTGGAGGGAGGAGGAGGCGAGGGAGGAGGGAGGGCAGCCTGGCTTTGGTGGGTCACCTCGAGGCCTTTCGGTTCGGTGCGGTTCTCATCTGGCCCTGAGCCCAGCCCAGGTTACCTGTGCAACAGGGCTGGCTCCCCCCACCTGCCCTGGAGAACTTTGTCTGCTGAAGTGACAAGCAGTATGCCTGTGGGGGAGCCGTGAGACTGGACATCAGCAGCTGGGCAAGGAAGAGAGTGTGGGAGCGGGATTGGAGGACACAGAGGTCAGCCTGGGAGCCCCGGAGCCAGGCTGCAAGCTCGAGTGAAGCCAGCACTGTCCTTGGGCTTGAGAAGGTGAAAGAGGGAGACTGAGGGGTGGGGGGGCAGTGGGGGGAGTGTTGGCCTTCCGACAGGTGTTGAGAGCATCTGTGCCATACACGGCTGGATGGGATTCAGCGGTGAGCAGAGCCGCCAGAACCCTCTGGAAGCTCATAGTCCAGTGGGAGATTACAGCCCAGTCAGCAGGGGTGGAGCAATATAACCGGCGGCTGCGGGCAGAAGGGACACCCAAAGTTCTGCTGGGGATGGAAGGTGGCCGGCAGGACTCACCCTGGATTAGGACGGTTCCTTGGAAGAAGTGACGTCCCAGCCAAGCCCTGAGGATGTTGGGGGCGCCAGGTCACAGGGTATCCAGCGGGGGCCTGCATGTGTCCAGTCCTGGAGCCCAGGAGACAGCTCAGGCTAGTGCGGGGTACAGGGCCCAGGAAGCAGCGAGCAGTGGCATTGAGTGGGGGTGCAGGGGCGGATTGCCGGACTGCGGGGTACGCTCGGAGGAGTCCTAAAAGCTTTTGTTTTAGCTGAAAGGTGGAGGAGGGACTGGAGATGGACAAAGGGGGGAGCGAGGAGACCTGATGGGCTGATGTCAGGGGCCAGGTGAGGTACGGGGGCCCAGGTTGGGGCAGTAGCCAGGGGGAGGGATAAACAGCTGCAGCACCCACGGGGTGAGCTTTGCAGTCGGAAGGGCAGGCTTGCAATGAGGGTGCTGTTGAAAACTGTGCGGTGGGCAGGCCTCGTGGCCCAGCACCACCCCTCACCCACCCTACTTTGTTAAGCCCCTGCGCCCATCTCTCCCCACCCTGCTCAGTCTTATGCTGCTGGATTTATAGGTCCCTCCCGAGGGGAAGGGGCTGGATTGGCTCTAACATTGAACTTCAACTTGGCCCTTGCCTGGAGCTACATGGGTGGTGTCTCAAGCTTTCAGGTGGCCCTCTGCCATTCTTTGGTTCAGTTTAATCTCTTGGGGGGAGTGTGGTTCCAGGTCCCAGGGGCCCTAGGTCACCTAGTCCCTGCCTCCTTGCAACCCTGATAATTAAAGAAATTGGGGGAGAGTTTTCCAGTCTTAATCTTTCTGAGAGGTGGCGATATCACTTAAGGGACACCCAGCAAGCTGGTGATTAAAGAAATTGGGGGAGAGTTTTCCAGTCTCAGTCTCTCTGAGAGGTGGAGTATGGATCCCCAGCAGAGAGCTTGGGGCCCCACCATGGCGATATCACTTAAGGGACACCCAGCAAGCTGGCCCGGAAGGCTGGGGAGCTGGTTCTGTGGGTCCCAGCAGCCCCACCCCAATTCTGATTCAGAAAGTGAGCCGGGCCGCCCACATACGCACAGGTGCCAGACAGCATCTCTCTGGGGCCCATCCGTCCTTTCCCTCCTCCGAGGACTGTGACTCAGGTTGAGGTGTCCACTAACTTCACAGGGATTGAGGTCAGAGAGCGGGAGGGACTTACAGCATGTGTCCGGACCAGGTGTTCAGTCAGAGTCGTCGAGTCAGAGGTTCATTCTCTTTCCTGGCTGCTTGATGGCGTCACCTGTGTGCTTTGAGTCCTTAAATGTGGCAAGTCTGCTCTGGCAGCATCCTGGCTGCAGAGGAGGTGTGAGGGCGGGGAGTCATTGTCCTTTAAACAAAGATCTCTGCCTCTGTCTCGGGTTTCAGGGAAAGTATGCCTGTGGCTACTTGAACTCCAACCAGATTTGTGAAAAGCACTCCCCTCACCTGGGAATCTGTGGATGAAGAGAAGGCAGGGTTATGAAATCGACTGCCGGCTCGTTTCTCGTTATTTCATTTTGGGAGGGAGCTGGGTTTGAATAACAGCCGGTGGGCAGATGGGCTTTCGAGGCCAGCCCTGGTTAAGCCTGTGCCTGCTCTTCTTCCTTGCAGCCCTATGAGCTCTTCCTGATCGCCCCTCCACCTGCCCGCCTTCAGATCTGACCCCAGACCTGCCTGCTGCCTCCCCTCCCTCCAGGCAAGATGCCCATCCTCAAGCAGCTGGTGTCCAGCTCCGTGCACTCCAAGCGCCGTTCCCGAGTGGACCTGACGGCCGAGATGATCAGCGCCCCGCTGGGCGACTTCCGCCACACCATGCACGTGGGCCGGGCAGGGGACGCTTTTGGGGACACCTCCTTCCTCAACAGCAAGGCTGGCGAGCTGGAGGGTGAGTCCCAGGATGAGCAAGCCGCCTCCTCGTCCTCCAAACGCGGCCTCCTGTCCCGGAAGTTTCGGAGCAGCAAGCGGTCACAGTCGGTGACCAGGGGGGACCGGGAGCAGAGGGACATGCTGGGCTCCCTGCGGGACTCAGCCCTGTTTGTCAAGAACGCCATGTCCCTGCCCCAGCTGAATGAGAAGGAGGCCGCAGAGAAGGGCTCCAGCAAGCTGCCCAAGAGCCTGTCGTCCAGCCCCGTGAAGAAGGCCAACGGCGGGGAGGGGGACCACCAGGCCGCGGGGGTGGGGGAGGTGCCCCGGAGGAATGGGGCGAGCGCCCCCCACTCCCCCGACCCCCTCCTGGATGAGCAGGCCTTCGGGGACCTGACGGATCTGCCCGTCGTGCCCAAGGCCAGCTTTGGGCTGAAGCATGCGGAGTCCATCATGTCCTTCCACATCGACCTGGGGCCGTCCATGCTGGGCGATGTCCTCAGCATCATGGACAAGGAGGAGTGGGAACCGGAGGAGGAGGACGGCGGTTACCGTGGCAGCGAGGACCCAGGCAGTCTCTCCCAGGCTCCCCCTTCAGGGGCGGCGGCCCCTCCCTTGGCCAGGCAGGAAGGCAAGGCCGGCAGGGACTCGCCCCCGCCGTCCTCACAGGCTCTGCAGGACGAGGGGTGGGGGGCCGCGGCCCCCAGCCCTGGCTCCGCCCGCAGCGTGGGCAGCCACACCACGCGGGACAGCAGCTCCCTGTCCAGCTGCACCTCGGGCGTCCTGGAGGAGCGCAGCCCTGCCTTCCGGGGGCCAGACAGGGCCCGGGGCCCTCCCCCCCGGCAGCAGGACAAGGAGTTCTCATTCATGGACGAGGAAGAGGAGGATGAGATCCGAGTGTGAGGCGGGGGGAGGGGGCAGCTCCACGCTCTTGGCTTCGTCTCCCTGCCCCTGGCCCTCCACCACCTTCCCCTGTCCCCTTCCCGTCCAGGGGCACCCGAGAGTCTGGCTTTGGCCACAGGCCCTGGACCTTGTGGGTGAGGGGCGCTGGCTGAGCCTGGGGCCCCGCGGGGGACTGGGCAGCTGGCCTGGGTGCCGACTGCGCGTCTGACTCTGTCACACACCGTGGCCTCCCCAGCTCTATGGGACGGGGCTGTGTTCTCACAGCAGCAGTCAGTTTCCTTTCCCGGCCTCAGATGGATGCCAGATGTCCACCTGAGTTCCTGCCTCGCCTCGCGCGGCAGAGGCGGCCTCGGTGCCAGGGCTGAGGACGCCCAGCTCTCCTTTTCCTCCCTGGCATCTCTGCTGTGACCCTCGTAAATGGGTGTGACAGGAAGAAGGGGGTGGTCACGGGTCCCCGCCCCTTCCTCCCCCCTGCCTGGCTCCTCTGCACCTGAAGCCTGGAGCCCCTTAGAGTAAAGCTAGACCCAATGCGTACACTAAACAAGGCACAGGCACTAAACAAGGCCCCGGGGCCGCTTAAATCTTCGAGCAGGAGCCCTTCCCCATGACACTAGGTGCAGGCTGTGGCAGTCGCTCAGCCTCTCTGAGTTTGTTCGTTCTTCTTACGTTTAAACCCTTCTAGAGCGGTATCTGGAACAGAGTTAGGTCTGCCACCGGCAGGAACATCGAGTCCTTTTAGAAATCCTTTATACTAAGTGCTTCAGACTTTATTTAGAGTTGTGTGGGGTGGGCGTCTGTGTGTAGTCCCCCCGCCCCACCCCCATAGCTACTAAAACTCAAGGCGGCCAGTGTAGAATATTTCTGGAAAATGACTTTTTGAAAAGTAATATATCTTTCCTATGGGAGATCCAAGCTTTTGTTTTAACTGGGTTATTTCCTCCTCACCCCCTTCCCCTGCTGACTCCTTCCCCTTCCTTTCTCAGGCCCCTCTGCCAGCTCAGCCCCCTCCCTGACTCCCCGAGGCCCAGGCCCTGAGGCTACAGGTATAGGATTGCCAGGATTTAGCAACAAAACAGAAGGAAAACCCGGGATGTTGAGTGAAATCTGAATTTCAGGCGTACAAAGGATAAGTTATAGTGTGAGTACTCCCCCCACGTCTGGTGGGAACATACCTTATGCTAAAATACTATTTGTTGTTCTTGTGAAATTCAGATTTCACTGTGTCCTATAACCACGCCCCAGGGGACCGAGTTAGGAGCTTGGCTGCGAGCCCCAGGGTTAACTGATGATTATTTTTCTGTCCTGGGAGCAGCCGGCCCCTCTCCTCCTGTCCTTTCGTAGCTTTTGCTGGGAAGGACGGACTAGCGCAGGGTCTGGCGGGCAGGTGGGCGTGGCCGCTCCAGCCTCTTGTTTTCTGCTGGATCCTGACTCAGACACTAACTTAGTTCCCGATTCGGGGGCCCCATGGGTGCTTGTTTCCACAGTGGGGGAGGGGACAAAGGGGTGGTGCAGCCCCCGCCAGCTGCCCTGAGAACCTATCTGGACGGTGGTCAGTCAGTTCCAGATTCTAAACTGGTATTTTTTTTTTTTCATGATATTGTTAAAACAGTGAGAAAACATTAAAAAAAGCCTTATGGCACGCCTCTGGTGTCTGTCTCTGCTTCTGGGGAAGGCGATTTCAGGATGCGGGTAGGTAGGGGTGAGGGTGAGGATGGGGGGTCCTGTGGCTGTTCGTGCTCCTGCGTCCCTTCGGTGGCTTCTCTCTCGGTCTCTTTGGGGTCCTCCCCTCCTGCACAGCTCTCTAGCCTCTGCCAGGGAAGACCCTTGGGGGCTCTGGGACTTCAGTGTCCCAGCTGTCACTTAGCGGTCGGGGCCCGCAGGTACCTAGTCACTCAGCTACTTTGTGCCTCATTCTCCTCGTGTGTTAAATGGGATTCCTGCAGCTCCCTGGAGGCTGGGATGCATCAGGGATGCAGACGGGCACCAGCATGGCGCTGGCCAAGTTGTTATTACACCGAGAGGCCGTGTGCTCGGAGGCCCCGGGGCCGACGTGCGGGGGTGCTGTTGCCACCAGGACACGCGGGCGCCTTTTACCGGTTAACCCGGAAGGTCAGCTTTCGGCAGCGCATTCTCGCTCAGCCTCGCGGCCCAGTGAGTTGGACTCTTGTCCCCTTCGACAGAAGGAACGTGCTGAGAGGCCACGCGGCCAATTTCTCCGCGTTGCCAAGTAATAGAGCGAGAACATCGCTGATTCGAGACCCTTCGGCCTCACCACTGACAGGCGCCTCGAAGCTTCGTTACTTGGGGAGCTGAGGCCCGGGGTGTGTCTGCCCAGATTGAGGACCCAGTGACCCCTTTGCCCCGCTGGCCCAGCTCCTGCCTCATCACCTTCCCTTCCTGACACCCACCTGCCACTCTGAGAACTTCAGCCTGGGCAGGGCTGGCAGTGCTGGCTGGGGTCTCTCACACACCTTCCTCCCTGGGGTGGGGGGGTCCCCATGTGGCTGAATTCCTGGGAACCCTGTCTCCTTCCTGAGCATCTACAGGAAAATTTGGGCTGAACTCATCCTCTCCCTGGGAAGCAATTAGAAGCATAATTAAAAGATCCCTCTGTCCCTAGACTGGCTCATTAGAGCTAATGAGAGAAAGGAGCAGGCAGTGTGGTGGCTCGGGGTGGGAGGGGGGAGTCTGGGCCACACATTTGAAGCCAGGTGCGGGGGCCGGAGTCCCTGGGGGCTGCAGTCTAGCTCTAGGTAATTGGAGAGAGGAATGCGCAGCTCACTGAGGCCCGGACAGGGGCAGGGAGAGCACGTGAGTGGGGGCTGTGCTTCCCAGACAATGTACACCCCCCAATCCCACATGAGCACTCCCATGAGATTCTTGAGCATCTGGGAGACGCCAGACACCTAGAGGCCCCAGACATGCTTTTCCACTCGATGGAGAAGCTCCAACCCTTCAGGAAGACCCGGGAGCCTGCGGGGACACCTGGTTGGACCCAGACCTTCAAGAGCATGCTTGGGGCTCAACGGGCCCACCAGATAAATATGGAATAACCAGGCAGGATGAGCCTGCTGGCTGCGCCAGCTCTAACCCACTGTGCTGTGTGGCCTTGGGCCAGTTAGTTTCCTACCCTACGTGGCATCTTTCTCCATCTTTAAAATTTGGCACTAGCTCAGTTATTTTCAACTTTTTGCCAGAAGTTTATTTGTAATGATGTCGTATGTCGAGCCTCTATCCATAAACAGGCTGAACCAGCCCTTTCCTGGGTTGGGTTGGGGTTGAGGGATACAGGGTGACCTTTGGTCTCGGAGGTCCACCTGAGAAACCTAGGACCCCCATGGAGCGCACCTCACCATAAAGACGTTCCGTAGGGCCCCACTACTTCCGACAACTCGAAGCAGGAGCCAGGAACTACTTCCGGGTAACGATGGAGTAACTGAAATTCACGTTCCAGTTACTATTTCCAGTAATGTAAGGGGACCCAAAGCCTCCTGCCCCAGGCAGATAGCGGCAGTCACGGCCCCGAGATGCGGCAGAACCAGCCATGCTCCAGTCCGGCCATCACTGGGGTGCCTCTCTCCACTGCCCCAGCCGTGAGGGAGGACAGGGCACGGGCCAAAGTCCCATGAGTGGAGCAGAGCCAAGACCGTGAAATGGACTTTGGCTCCGTGCCATGGCAGGTGAGGGACAGGCCGAGCCAGAGGACTGCGTGGGGTGCAGCTGCTCACAGATCTGGGGAGTGTGGTAAGTTTTGGGGTGGCTGTCGGGGAAGGGAGAAGGGGTGACCTTTTCAGGTGTGTGTGGCACCCCCTCCTCTCACCTTGGCCTTCACACACAGCTTCCTAAAGTGGCCCAGCTCCCTCCGACACTGGCGCAGGGGCCCTTCCTGGCCTGACCCCTTCCTCGCCGTGATCACACCCGTACACAAAGGCTCCCTGGACCCCGGACCCTGACTGGAGGTGCAGGGCAGGAAAGTCAGGGAATAAAAATGGCAGACTTTGTCCGTCTGCTTCCCCTCTGCAGCCTCCTCCAGGCCCTGCGGCCTCCTGCCAGCAGCCAGATGGGAGAATGGAAAGAACGTTTTGGGGGAGGGAAGGCATTCGCAGGCAGATGGATGCTGGCGGCTTTGACTCTAAAACCTGTTGCTCTAACCCACACACAGAGCTTCAAGACGGAGACTCTCAGGAGGGGACGAGAGGGGCCAAGGAGAGCCACCTTCCAACTCCAACTCCAAAATGACACTTGGCATGTTAGAAAGTACCTGTCGAGGCCACCGGGCCCTGCTAAGTCTTGTTTTGTTTTTATGCTCTGCTTTGTTCCATAAAGGATCACAGGCAGCTTACAAAAATACCTAAATTACAACAGCATAAAAATAGATCAGAGGGAACACAAGGCTGGAACGAACAGTGCAATGAACCAAGAAGGTGGGACACGGAATTGTTGTCAGGGCAAGGCTCCACGATCCTCAAAGGTGGGCTGCAGATCGGACTCTGAGCTTCCTATCGGCCAAAGCAAAGAGGGAAACCCACCTGTTATGAGACTCACAACCTCCACAAAGTTGAAACAATCCCCAGAGCAGCTCAGCTTTTTTCTGACACTGGGGTCCGAGAGAGATTCTTGTAAGATCTTTGAAGGGGGCAGGGCCGGGGTCCCAGGCACCATCCTCAACAACAACCTCATAGCAGATACAGTCATGCGAACCCCCGTCAGGCTGTTTTTCTTCTCGGTATGAATTGAAAGCTAAATGCCAAGACACAGATCAATAAAACCAGCTCTCTGGAGGGCCAGCCCTGAGCAATCCAAGTTATTCATCCGAGACACAGTTTAGATTCCTCCAGGAATCTAAGGCTCTCTCCACCTCAGCACTCTCGGCACGTGGGGCCCGATCATCCTGTCCTCGGGAACTGTCCTACACACCGTAGGATGTTAAGCGCCAGCGGGCCTCTACCCACTAGATACCCATAGCATCCCTCAAGCAGTTATGTCAATCCAAAATGTCCCCGGCCATTGCCAAATGTCCTGTCGGTGGCTGAACAGGACTGGTGAGATTTTTTTTTTTCTTCCCCATAAGGGACAATTTAAGACAAAAATGTTTTCAGGTCACGTGGTTTTGCTCAAAGCGAAAAAAAAAAAAGAAAGAAAAAAAAGGCTTATGGAGTCTCATAGAGAAAAATATATATCCTTACATCTTAACGGAAAACTGGCACCGAATGTTTGTGTCCCCCCTACTGTCCCCAAATCCGTATGTTGAAGCCCCAACTTCCAGTGCGATGCTCTCAGGAGGTGTGGCCTGGGGGAGGTGATTAGGGTTAGATGAAGTCAGGAGGGTGGGCCCCATGATGGCAATTAGTGTCCTGATGTCAAGAGGAGGAGCCCAGAGCTCTGTGTCTACCGCGTGAGGACACAGCAAAACAGGAAGCAGGCCCTTACCAGACACTGAATCTGCCAGCCCCTTGACCTTGGACTCCCAGTCTCCAAGACCGTGAGAAACAAATGTTTGCTGTGTACGCCCCTGATGGACACCCAGCTGATTGAAAGGACGGGCCACTCCGTCAGTGTCTGGTGGCCCAGAGATGGAGTTCACAGCCAAACCAAGAAGTGAGGCCGAGGGCAGCTCTATGAGTCTGATGAACACCCCACCGGAGGGAAAGTCAGGACCTGGGGCCCCGCCCACTCTGCCCCAGCCCCCACTCAGGGTCAGGGTGGCTTATGCAGGCTGGGGGAAAAGGGGCTCCCCTTTGCTTGCCTGCCCTCGCCGCCCACAGCCCCTGGGCTTCGAACACAACGTGGGCACAGCTGACTCCCTGTCGATAGTGGGGGCCTCGAGGGTTTTTCCATCTGTGCTCTGTTCGCCTCGTCGCCCCAGAATCATTTAGCAATAACAGACTGGAGGGCAGTCTGTGGTGACAAAAATGGAGTTTCTCCTCCAGACTCAATTGACCGAAAGGCAGATCAAACTTATGACCTTGGCCCCTAATCCGTCACAGTGAGCGCCCCAGGCTGTGGCTGGGAGAATTCACCCATCACAGTGTCCACGGCTGGCGGGCAGTTCTGGGTTCTGTAGAAACCTTCCTTTCCTTCTCCCAGGTGAGGGCAGGGGCTTGTCACCCCAGGAGGTACACAGACTGTCCCCCGGGATGTGGGGATCGATATTAGAACACTGGTCATGGTTCATCCTGACCGTCTACATCTGTGTTCGGAGCATTGAGCGCTTCAGGGCTGCGGGGTAGGGCATCTTTCCTGGGTTCCGGCACCTGCCTTGCTGGAGACCCTTCTCGGGGCCCTTTCGTGAGGAGTGGCCCCAGGACTTTACAGCCAGAGGGCTCTTTCTAAAATGCAAATTGAGCCCAACACCGCAAAGCTGGCTCCTTCCATGACTCCCAAGGCCTCAGGTTCAAAGCCCTTCCCCAGGCCAGGCTCCCAGCCTCTCTCTCAGCAGCCGAATTGCCAGATGCAGCCTCACGGAACCAGAAATGGTTTCCCAAATGGGACTGCAGTGCTACCTCTGGGAGCACGGTCCCATACCGCCTTGACAGTGCTCTACCTGTCGACAGCTTGGTTTCTTATCTGTCCTCCCAGAAACCTCTCCTGGACACTCAGGTGGGAGCTAAGTGGTCTTGTAGGTGGCGTGTAATGCTGTCTGTTTCCTGTTCATTGGTCACTTCCCCTCTGTCTCAGTTTCCTTATTCTTGCTGTACTAAATTATTACACAGTTAGTAGCTTAAAACAACACAGGTGTATCATCTCATAGCTCTGGGAGTCAGCTGAAATCAAGGTAGCTGCAGGTCTGTGTCTCATCCAGCTTTTAGAGGACACCTGCATTCTTTGGCTCATAGTTCTACTCATCTTCAAAGCCAACAGCGTAGCACATTCAAATCTTCAAATCCTCAAGTCTCTCTCCCTCTCCCCTTCCTCCCTCTGACCCCCTTGCCTCTCCTCTCACAAGGACCCTGTGATTGATCACCTTGGGTCCACCTGGATAATCCAGGATCACCTCCCCATCTCAAGATCCTTAACTAAATCACATCTGTATGTCCCTTTTGCCATGTAAGGTAACATATTCACTGGCTTTAGACATTAAGCCGTGGGCATTTGGGCATTATTCTGCCTACCACACCCTCTTAGGCAGCAGCTGTGTCTTGTTCATTCTACAGCCTCTAAAGTGAGTAGAGGCTCAGAAATATTTTTGAGTGAGGGAATGAATGAATGAATGAATGAATGAATAGCTACCCAGAGGCCAGGTGCGGCCAGAAGCTTGACCAGGGAAGCTGGAAGGACTGTGGAGAAGTAGGAAGAAGAAACTCGAGTGACACCTGAACTGCTGTCATCTTGTACTTCTGATCATTCATTTTTGCCGAGGGTCCGGGCCTGTGGCGTCCCCTGAGCTTCTGGTGACAGGGCTCCCTTGCCACAGGCACAGGGCAGTGGGTAGAGCAGGGCCCGCAGAGGCTTCCCGCCAAGTCCCAGGACGCTTAGGGCAGCCTCCATGGGCTCTGGGCACAGAAGCAGAGGAGAGGGGATGGTGACCTGAAGACCAAGGCACTCGGTAACAACAGCGGAGGGAAAAGCTCTTAGGACGCTCCCTTGGCCGGGACTGGCTCCCTGAGCCCCAAATGCCCTGTCTCCTCGACTCTCGGACCCAAAGCACAACTGCCGTGCCCACTCAGAAGCCTAGTCTTGCTCTCGAGACCCCCCCATGAATATCCCCCACGTACATACTTGCCTGTACCCACCCCCACCCCCGTTGCACCTCGCCTCGGCAGGCTGGAGGGAGCTGGACTTCAGGTGGTGTAGGTTGAGCCTGTGTGACCCTCCACTGATTACGCCCTAATAATAGCAAAGGCTGGGATTCTAGGTCCTCGTTCCAACATCTCCCGGCTGTGCAGGCTTGGCAGTCTCTCCACCCCTCTGGACCTTGGTTTCTTTACCTGTGAAATGGGTAGAAGCAACCTGAACGGCTGCCATGAGCAGCGGAGGAGGCCCTGGGGTGGCTCACTGGTCACTATGCCTGAGCACCCGGGGAGAGATGCCTCTCCCAGCACGTAGTTCCTAAAACCACCAGGGACCCAGGGACCGAGCCCCCGGGAGAAGACGGGGCAGGACCTCCTGGTTGCCAGATCTCCCTGCCCTGCACTTCAAGTGGCTATTATGAGGCCAACAGCTGTCCTCACCAAGTGGCATCTCTGGGGCATGAAGAGCAATGGAGAGGGCAGGGCACACTGGCTCATTGTCCCTGGGGCTACGTGGCAGCTGCTGTGGGTCACTGGGGCTCCCCTTACCCCACCCCCTACCGTGGCTATCCAGCTGCCAGGCCCATCCCCAGCGGCCTTAGTGCAGGCCCTCTAATGACATGTGAAGAGCATGGAGCCCCCACAGCACCTTCTGTCACAGCCCTTAGGGATGATCAGCTTGAGAAGGGGGGCCCCGTGGACCTGTGCAGGACACCTGGGGCCTTGAGCACCAGGCTGCACCCGTCCCTGGTGCCTCATGGCCCCTGACTCCCAGAAAAGACTGTTTCCCGGTGTCACACGTGCACCTGTACTTCTCACTTACTGTCGGCCCCCCAAGGATGTCCTGCCGCGAGTCCCATTTTACTGCTTCAGAATCCAGGGCTCAGAGAGGTGGTTAAACGACCAGCCTAGGATTACAGGCTGGGGACCGGTAGAGCCAGCATTGGAATCCTGGCCTGTCCGATGCCACAGTCTGCACCCTTATCACGGATGAAGGGTGTCGAGTGGCAAGTAAGGCAGAGGCACGGACGCCGGAAAGGAGAGTGTGGCCGCATTCTGCCCAGAAGGGCACTGGCTGTGATTGATGCAAGGCCAGGGGGCCGGGCGCGGTGAGCTCTGCCAGTTTCTGGCTGCCAGAGAATTCTAGGGCTCCCAGCGACGCATTTACAAAGGGGAAGGAGCGGGGTGGTGCCTGTCTGGGAAGTCTGCAGCCGGAGTCAGATGAGAGCCCCGTAATGATGGTGATCGGAAATGAGGACCCCTGTTTATGCAGTGATTTGTGTGTCCTGAATTAATTAACAAATGAAAACACGAGAGCTGGGGAGAAGCTCCAGGGCACAGGAGAGCAAATTATGGGGTTCCAGAGGGACGTCCCAGAGCCGGGGCACCCGGCTGCCAGCCCTGGCCCCTTCTCCAGGGCATCGTCAGGACAATAGAGGTGGTAGTGTGACGGGGTTGTGGGGGGCAGTTCCCCCAGCCTGAGTGAGATGGAGGGCTTTGGAGGTGGGACACGCAGATCAGACTCCCAGGTGACATTAATTAGCTACGGCACCTTGGCAGTCACCCAGCTTCTCGGTGTTTCTACGTGCTCGTCTGGGAAAGGGGTGAGGACTTTCGAAATCAGTGTCTAAGTGGGAAGACATATTAGTTTCCTGGGACTGCCGGAACAATTCGCCACAAAGGTGGTGGCTCGAAAGAACAGAAATTTATTTTCTTACAGGTCCGGAGGCCGGAAGTCCGGGCTTGTCTGTGTTCACACGGTCTTCTTCTCTGGGCCTTTTCTGTAGCAACGTGTCTCAAATCTCCTCTCTTTTTTCTCATAAGGAAACCGATCATTTTGTTTAGGACTCACTCTGAGTTCCAGAATGGTCTCACCTCGAGGTCCTTAATTACCTCTGCAAACACCCAGTTTCCAAAGAAGGTCACGTTCACAGATATCGGGTGTCAGGACTTGGGACAACCTTGGGGACAGGGATATTTCAATCTGCTATAGAAGGTATTTTGGTGAAGCCAAAGCCGTGGCTGCCAGTGGCTGTCATTCTTTGCCAAACTAACGATGGAGCATTGGGAGATGGGCATCCGTCTCTGCAACATCTTCCCCACAGTCCAGAGCTCAGCCTTCCTGGGACTGTGGTCGCAGGGAGGCTCAGGCTTCTGGAAACTCCTGGATCCCTTCCCTTCCCTGCCTGGACTCCAGGTGTCTATCTCGCCAGCTATTTACCGCCATGGGAAGGCAAACACCAGCAGGCTCGTTCTCGTTGGCTCTTTGTGGCCCGGCGGGGTGCGGCCCACCACTCCGGCTGGAGGAGGGCGGTGGGTTCTGTGGCATCGAGTCCTGTGCGACTCAGAAGAACACCAGCTCCAGTGAGAGGGAAGGCCACAGAGGGAGCCAGGCCAGGAGGAGGGGAGGCCTGCCCTACTTAGAGCCCTACAAAGCTCCTTTGAAAGCATTTTCAGATGTCCCCAGCCCTGGAGGCAGGGGTGGCGTAATAATAATAAAACAACATTTGCATAGAGATTTCGTTTACAAAGCACTTTCTCAGGGGCGGGGAGGCGCTGGGGTGGCCCTGTGGAATCCTGGTGGGGAGGCCTCGGCCTGGGCCTCGGGTCGGTTCTGCCCCCAGCCCAGCTTGCGACTGCGGGAGGGGTAAACAAAGCTCCATTCATCCAGCGACTTCCGACTCCTCTGAGTTCCCCCCCTCTTCCCCCTCTCCCATGAAGAGCTCGCTCAGGACTTGTTATTCAGGCCAGAAAAGGGGTGTCAAACGTCTCAGAGGGAGGGGCTGGCTGGGACCCCATGGGAGGGCAGGGGGAGGCAGGGGGGGCTCCCTCCCTCTGCGCCCCCGCCCCGCCCCCACACCCTCTGGCTCGCGGGCGCCTGAGAATCAGAACAGCCTGGCCGTGGCTGGTTTGTGCAACTCTTGCTAACCTGGGCTGTGTCTTCATGTTGAAAGTATGAACACAGGTTTGGGAATGTCTGTCATATGCTGTGTGTGGGTTTGGGAACAAGCAGAGATTCGCAGCATGCAGGGCTCTGCTGATCCCTCCCCAGCGGCAGGCCCTGGGGGTGGGACTGACTGACACAGCGTGGCCTGTGGGGCCCTGGGGCTTCTGCACCTGCACCAGGTGGTAGCGGACGACAGCTGGGCCCCACTCGGTACAGCTGGGCCTGGAGAGCAGCCTGGTAGTCACCTGGCCGCTGGCATCAGACCCTGGCCTCTTTAAGGGCCTCTATGAGCTATAGAGGGTCCACCTGCAGAAGCCCAGGCTGCTCCCGGCAGCCCTGGCAAGAGATGGAAGAGGTCATTGCAGGGCTGGAGGGGTTCACCTTCGCCTTCGAGAAGGATGTGGAGATGCAAAGGGGCATCGGACTCTTGCCTTTCCAGGGCATGGACAGTGAGTGAGGATGGGCGCCAGCCGTCCTCGGGGACGGCAGCATCCCTCCCTCCCCCGGCCTGCTCTGCAGGCCTCTCTAATAGGGTGCCCCCCCCACCGTCTGCTGCTCACCAGGGAGACTGAGCTGGGGGCTTGGGCCAGCCGTCTGGGATTCCCAGCTTAGTCCCTGTCCTCCCAGGGGCGCGGGCCTCACCTCCTACATCCTCTCCAGGACTCTAGGAAAATGGTGTGGTGGCTTCCAGCTCATTTTCCAGACTGGAGAAGCAGAAGGTGAATCAAGGAAAAGCGTGCTGGCCTCCTGAGCCCCCGGGCCAGGCCCCTCCCTCCATGGCCTCTGTTCCGGAGTGGAGGGGCTTTCGTATTGTGGTTTGGAGGCTGGTTCCAGAGGCTGGCATCCAAAGGCAGGAGTTAGGGGCTCCCTGGTCCCAGCCTTGGGGAGGTTCGGGGGGACGTGCTGATGGGGTGAGGGCAGCCTCTGGGGAAGCTTCCTCCTTTCTTCCCTCTCCCCCTCCAGAGTCAGGCTCAGCTGTGTGCAACTTCTTCGCTAAAGGGCTCTGCGAGAAAGGTGAGTCGGCAGGTGGGCCTGGGTGGGGTGGCAGCAGGGGCTGTCTGGGTTCCGCTTGGCCTGGAACAGGGCGCCCAATTTGTACCCAGGGAGGGGAGTTGGGACGGGGCAGAATTTTAGTCTTATAAGCAGGCAAAAGGCGAATGGGCGGGTCCAGCGAGAGGGCTGCCCCTGACTCAGCAGCACGGGACAGGGTGGCCCCAGCTGCCTGGAAGGGGCTGTTCCTTCTTCCCGCCTTGCTGGGGGTGGGAATGTTTGTGGGCTTCAGCCTCTGCGCTCCCAGGAGGCTCTGACCTTCTTATTTTCTACTATTTTCCTCTCAGCCAGGAGAGTGGCTGCTCCCCACCCCCTTGTCCTCTGACTCGGTATGAGACCCGCTCGGCTGTCCCATCCATTCCTCATGCCCTAAGGTAGCTCAGGCCACGGTCTCTGAAATGCTGCCACCAGGCACCCCTGTGTCTCCCCCACCCTGACTTGGACCAAGCACTACTCTTCCGAGCCCCTCTCCCCAGAGCAGCCATTGTGGGTAGCCTGACATGGCATTCTCAACTTTCCTTCCGGCTCAAGCATCAGTCACAGGCTCTTCCTACTGAAACACACAGTTGCCCCAAAAGTCTTGCCTCCAATTTGGTGTGTGTGTGTGGGGGGGTCCCCGTCTCCGTCCCTGTGCCCCTACAGACCCAGGTTACAAACACCTGCTAGAGTGATAACTTTAGGACCCGCTTTTGGGATCCAAGTGAGTCTGTTCTTGGGGAGCGTGGGGGCCGGGAGGGGCCCATTCGGGGAGAAAGCTGGAGGCATTTTTGCCACGCGCCTCGTCTGTCGTTGGGCCAGCCCCGGACGATGGGTGCGAAGGGAAATGAGCTCATGATCACTGGAGGCTCTGTGAAGCCTGAACTAAGCGACGCCTCCTATGGTCCTGTGTCCTCAGCTTGGCCCATCCAGTCTCTAGAGCAGCGGTTCACAGTGACACCCTCTTGTAAAGAAATAAAATGTCCTTGTGGAAGGACAGATCCAAGCAAGGCAGTGGCCAGGGATGGAGGGTAAGGTGATTTAAAAAGAAGCTTCCCAGTCCCAATCACAATCTATCAGATGCACGAGGCCAGTCCCGCTTAGAAACGTGGAACTTGGGTGTCCCCGCAGACGGCAATGCCACCTCGATGAAGATGATAAAGAGTTTAATGTAACGTTCCCATCTCCTTCTAAACCCTTACGAAGTGGCTCTCATGTCACCAGTTAGGTCTCCGGAACCAGGAAGCATAATATATCTATTTTTTAAAGACTTGAGTTCAATAGGCCGCAGTAAGCACTCACTATGTGCCGGGGGCTGTGCTGGCTGGGGGTCCGGGCTGGAAGCTCACTCTGTTCTTGGGGGCAGCCCTGCTGTAAGCCCGGAGGAGAGGGAGAGTACAGGGCGTGGCAGAGGGCTTCCTGACCCAGGGGGCTTCCTGACCCGGGGGGCTTCCTGGGGTTTGAGAAGGACAGCCAGGCACAGAGGGGAGTCTGGGCAGAGGTGTGGTCGTGGGACCAGCTGTCTGTCGAGACAACAGCTGTCCTCCATGTGGCCTCTGGCCCCCGTTCTAGTCTCCACCAGCGTCCAGGTGCAGGGACGAAGGGAGGGCAGCTGGGGTCTGAGCCCACGGGGAGTCCCTTCTGGGGGTGAGGGGGCCCGGGCTGTGGCAAGTCGGGCGTTCCCAGCGGGGGGCTCTGGTGTCGCCAGGGAAGCTCTGCCCGCTCCGGCACGACCAAGGGGGGAAGGTGGTGGTGTGCAAGCACTGGCTGCGGGGTCTGTGCAAGAAGGGTGACCAGTGCAAGTTCCTGCACCAGTACGACGTCGCCAGGATGCCCGAGTGCTATTTCTACTCCAAGTTCGGTAACGCCTCTCCCTGGCTCCGGCCCTTCACCCCGGAGGGTGGTGGCGGGGCTGTGGGATGGGAAGCTGTGGGAGGGACCCTTTCCCCACCCCCCACTCCCCACCCCCCAAAGGAGGACTTGCGTGTCCCAGGTGGCAGACCAGGCCCGACCCAGCTCTGATGCCTGCCTCTCCAATGCCCTGGAGAAAGTGGAACCGGACTCCGGTCCCCACCAGGCTCAGGCACACACTGCTTACCCCCAAGAGAACGGGAGAGGAGGGCGTGGTTGGAATGAAGGCTGAATTGTTTCTCTCCCCAGTCCTGGCTAATCACACCCAGACCGACTGTCTGGAACGAAGCCCCAAGTGGGCCATTTCTCAGTCCTGGGGTTGGGGCCACGGTGGCCAGGCCAGCGTTTCCCAAACAGCAGGCATGCAGGAGCTACTTCTGTGATGCTTGCCATTCTCACAAAGCACCTGTACCTTGAACTGCATCATTGTCTAACCTTTGAACTGCTGTGCGATGTTTAACTTTTATTTTAGAAGCAAAGTTTACATTGCTTCCATAAATGGAAAACTAGCATCATGTATGGGCACTACCAGGTAACTGCAAACACATGACCGTGAGATTCCGAAGTTCAGCCCCTGAAGTGGTCCCCTGGGGTCAGGTCTGGGCCTGGGCCTGCGCCTCACCGCCCTCTGGCCTCAAGCCCTTCTTTTATCATTCGAGGGGCTGCAGTGGGGGAGACACTGCCTCATTTAACCATGGAATCTGTGAATGTGTTCCCCCATCTCATCCTTCTCAATAAAATTCTACAGTCCAGTGCTTTTCAGAGCTGGAAGGGGACTTCAGGATGATCTAGTCCAGTGGTTTTCAAGCTGTGTTCCAAAAAGGGTGACCTGGACGGGGAGCGAGCTGGGACAGTGCCCAAGGACACCTCTGACTGAGGTGGCTTGGCTTTGAGACTAAACCAGCACTGGGGCAGTTGTTCCTCATTAGTGCTAATGTGTGTGAGTGTGTGTGTGTGTGTGTGTGTGTGTGTGTGTGTTGGGGGGGCGGGGTCCTTAGTATGTAGGAATAAGGCAAAGCATCCTTCCTCCCCCAGGTCAGCAAGGGCACCTTCCAGGCCAAAATTTGTGCCTGCTTCTTGGACCTGGGAGCTGAGACAGTTTATGAGGGCTGCCTGCAGGAGTTCTTTCAAGGAAAAGACAAAGTTTATCTGAGGCCCAGCTCCCCTAAGTCATGGCCTAAACATCTTTCACTTTAAATGTCACTTATTTACTCCTTCAGTAAACCTGTCTGGGTTTTCTTTTTGGGGTCAGGTATGGTGCTGGGCACAGACACAGGAAAGGGGCCAGGTTCCCTTCTGCCCTCAAATATCAGTGATCATCGCTCTCATTGGAAGTAAATTGTTTTATTTTTAAAAATATTGTTTTTAATATTGTGTAGGAGTGGGAAGGGGCAGTTGGAAGGGGCGAGGAGGTCCATGGTCTTTGGCCCTGCTCCTGGCTGCGCACATCAAAAAGGTGCATCAGAGAGGTAGGGGAGGGCGGCTGCGGAGGGCGAGGCGCGGGTGCCACCTGCTGGCCGTGAGGGGTATACAGCGTCAGCGTCCAGGTTAGAAAGGCAACACCAGTGCGTAGATGACTTTCTTTTCTTTTTTCTTTTCTTTCGCGAGGCAACCCTTGGTTGACCTCACAGATGGCAAGGACCTTGTCAGCTCACAATCCCTTATTTTTTGTTTCTTACGCCTAAAGCACCTGGCCTTCCTAGGTGGTCTCCCATCCAAGTCCTAACCAGGCCCGACCCTGCTTAGCTTCCGAGATCAGACGGGATCGGGCTTGCTCAGGGTGACATGGCCGTAGACCCCATAGATGACTTTCCATGGTCTCCGTCTGTCGAATGTTCGCCAGCCCAAGTGGCCGTGTCGCTTGGATTCCTGAGCAGGCTCCAGCCCAGAGTCGGCTGCACACTGGCAATGAGCTAGAGTGAGCCCTCACCAACGTGAGGGAGCCCGGTGGAGGGGACGGGACGCCGGCCCTCTCCGAGCACTGGTGTCCTTGTTTGTGAAATGAGGGGGCTGGCAGAATGGTGGTTAGGACTCTTCGGAATCGGTGGCGTTCTTCTTCTGGTGAGCGCTTGCTTTGCAGAAGCCCAGTGCATGAAACCCGTCTCTTGAAGTAGTTTGAAAACAAATGGCGTAGACATGATGGAGTTCCTCCTTTTGGCTCTGAAAGGCACCGAGTCTTAGACTTTCAGGTTCTCACAGCGCCTCTTCAGTAGTCTGTGCAAACAGGGCTGGATCCTTCCAGGAGACGCGAGTCTCGGTCTGACCCACAGACGGGTTACAGCCCGGGCTGAGCAAACCTTCAGGTGTCCTCTGTGCTGCATCTGATTTCACCCCGTGCCGCCTCTGAAGCAGGGCTCTGCTCTTCTTGGCAATTCCACCAAAAAGAGCCACACCCCTAGGCACTGGGAGCAGTGTCGGGGTCATTGCAGAGAGGAAGAGAGGGCTTGTCACAGCACCGGGGAGCCTCTCCATTCGGTGTGTCATGTCTTGGACATTTAGCTGCCGGCTCTGGGTCCGCCTTTTCCCGTCTCTTGTCATTCCTTCCTTTCTGAAAGCATCTAAATGCCTTCGGTTCTGGTCCCCGCTGGATACTGGCCCTGTCCCACCTCTCCCAGATGTGTGTTTTCATACCCAAGCCCCACTCAGCGAACATTATCGGGGTCCACGCTTCTTAGATTGCAGGAAGAAGTAGAAATACCCCACTGTCTTCAAAGCTGCTGGCACACAGAAGGCAGGCAAGCAGCTTATATTCGAGGGGCCAGGTCAGTCCAGTTTGGGGTGGGGGGCATGACCATGAACTTGAGCTCCTATTCAGAGGCCCTGGGATTTTCAGGCGGCTGCAGCAACAAAGACTGTTCCTTTCTCCACGTGAAGCCGGCTTTCAAGACCCAGGCCTGCCCTTGGTATGAGCAAGGCTTCTGCAAAGATGGTGAGGCCCTGACAAAGGGAGCCCTCGGGGACGTGGGGGACCCACAGGGGAGGCTGCATGTCGCTGAGGCCCTGTGGGGGCGGGGCTGCCCCGAGGTTGAAGTCCCAACAGAAGGTCTTTCCATAGTTTTCTCTGGGCTCCCTCCAGGGGATAAACGCTCTGTGACATTATGGCATGCAGCCTGGTGTGGCGCGTGGTGGCCTTCTCGAAGCACACTTACTTGGGTTCAGATCTCAGTGGCTTCGGGATGTGTTGGCTGCGTGACCTTGAACAAATGACTGAACTGCTCGTTTCTTCACTTGCGAGAAGGGAAAATGCCTCCTCTTAGGGTTGTTGGGCCACCCGATATAGGACCCCGCGGGGAGCCCCTGGCACAGGGTCTGGCCCACAGGGGACACTCAGCTCACATGCATTTCCTTCTGTATTTTATCTGTCTGGGGGTGTCCTGAGTGTCACCTACCCCATTGCAGTCCGTCAAACTCGGAGGACAGGGCTCCCACCAGAGTCTCTGTGATTTTAACATCACGTCCTCTCTGTTCTCGTGTCTTCGGGCATGCTGTTCTTACTGAGTTCTTGGCAGTGCTGGTTTTGAGGGGATTACAGGGGAGTGAGGCTGAATGATTAGTAAGAGGTGGGGGTAGCCTTTCCTCAGCCGTACCTTCTATGGCTAACCAAAAGGTGGCAAATTATGGTCACCATCTATGTAAGTCCTTCAAGACACAGTGTGGTAGGGACACTCCACCCCTACACATTCCGAGGCTCCCGTTCCATCCTGGTCACGTGGCTAGGAAGTAGGTACTTCGGGGCGGTATGGAAAGGACAGGAAGATTTACACAGCCCCATTGGGTGGAGAGCCTACGACCACCCATGTCCTTCCCGGTGGGCTCTGTCATGCCTGTCCCCCGCTTTGCTAAAGCAGATCCTTCTGCCTGGTTTCTCTTTGCCTGGCAGGTCCTCTGTGTAAATACCATCATGTCCCCAGGATAATGTGTATTAACTACTTAGCTGGCTTCTGCCCCAAAGGACCCAAGTGCCACTCTGCGCAGTAAGTATGATCCCACCGAGTGCTGGGCCCACACTCTGGCTTCTGGGTCTAGATCCTTCCACACCTTCGCTGGCCCGAGGTGGGACACGTGAAGCATCTGGCGAGCATGTGCATGCGTGTGCTCATGCTGGGGATGGGTGTCTAAGTCTTCACAAACTCTTCTGGGAATAAGCAGAAACGGGTGACACCCAGTCCTCTGCAATTCCCCCTCGCTCCCTGGCTGGGCTTGGGGCTCCGGCCTGTGGGGTCTCAGACAGGAAGTCTGCAGCAGGCTGGTGCAGAGCACGGTCAAGGGCTGGAGACAGGAGGCTTAGGGAGCCAGGCTATAACCGTCTCTCTCTACTTTCTCAGTCCCAAGATGAATGTTCTATTCAACCCAAGTTACATAAAGGTGAGTGCAGGCGGGAAGGGGCTGACGTGTCTCACACCCTCTACTGCGCGTGTTTCCTGGGGGAACTCTGAGTCCCTAGCACTGCACCGTCCCCAGCTGCCCTCACTCTCACGGGATTGGCTCTGAGTCCCGATGGCGGGAAAGGCATGCGCCGTTGCGTGTGTGTGGCACATATGTGTGGTTGTTCCTCCCACACCCCCTCTGTAATCTCTGCTTTAGGTAGGACGTCCCCTTAGCTGGATAACGTGTGTAGTTTTGTGGGGCCCGGCCCAGGACTTGTGGTCCAAAGCTGTTATTTGGAATCAGGGCCGTCCTGGTTGTGCCCTTTGGAAGTGGGACTCTCTCTAGTGATACGTGGCACTGGTGACAGCCTCCATCAGGGTCAGCAAACTATGGCCTGCGGCCAAATCTGGCCCCTTGCCTGTTTTTGTACAGCCTGGGACTTAAGAATGATTGCTACGGAGCTCTTGTTGATTAGCGGTCCTGTGTCCCGGTCATCTAGCTAGAGGGCCTGGCACCAGGCGGGGATGGCGGTGACACAGGAGGAGGGTGACCCCTGCCGGTTCTGAGTGGGATCTCCCAGGGAAGGTGGGAAGCAGTCATTCTTCAGTGGGGAATTCACAAGCTTGTGTCTAATGTCCATCCAAAGGTATGCTTTCCGGCACTTCAAACTGTAAACGAAGGCGTTTCGAAGCCTGGTTTCTGCCTGAACGCCCGGCCAGAGCCCCCGCCCTCAGTGTACAGTGTCGGGCCTGCAGTAGACGTTTCCTTCCGACTTCCTCTGCAGCTCCTCGACTGGCCGCTGGGCTCAGCACCTCCTGCTTCTGCCTGGGGACCTCGCAAGCCCCCTCTCCCCATGGAGCGCCTGCTTCTCCCCGCTCCGATGAGGCCCCGGGAGCAGCTGGTCTCCCACCGCCAGGGGCTCAGGGTGCAGGAGCAGGGCGCGTGCCACAGGGTAAGAGCAGAGGGGCCCGGGCTGTTGTTGTGTTGAGGGCCGGAGTGTGGGGGGTGACGCTGCAGAACGCGTGACTCCTCTCGTGCCACCGATAAGAAAACCGTGAGGGAGGGAACACGGGTAAACCCGATGACATGACTGGACAGTCGCAACCACCTAATCTGTGCACGTCCTGCCAGGCAGGACTGTTTATCTCTTTAAAAGGCGAGTAAGTTCAATGCCTTTCATTTCTTATTTTGCTGCCTACTGATTCTCCAGAGTTATTTATTTATTATGTCCTTAAGATCTGGGGGGCAGGGGTTGGTCAGGAAGGAAATGTGGCACCTTGGGTTTCTTTTCGGCTCTCTGGTTTACCAGGAAGAGCATGCTTTTATCACGCCGTCACGAGATAGCCTCCTAATTGTCCTGAGCTTGGACTTTGCTGTTCTGCCTTTGGACACCCAGAGCCCTGTTCTCGGGGGTCGTGCTGCCCAGCTTGAATCTCGCGGTCTTTCAGGCCTGAAATGGGGCCACACTCATGAGCAGAATCCACCGGATTCCTCAGAAAGCCAGCTAACTTCCTCATCGGGCTCCCTAGACGATTTAAGATTCTTTTCTTGGATTCTGAATTCACAGTCACGCCATTCACTTTTTCTCTTTCAGTGTCGAAAAATGGGGCATTGTGCCAGTAAGTGCAGTAAGACTGAACTGGTGAGAGTTATCGAAACATCAGCCCAGGTCTGTCTGGGGCCTGGAGGACATGCCAGTGTGGGCTTCTCTGTTCCCAGCATCCCATGAGCTCACTGTTGGCCTAAACAGGATACAAGATGCAAAGCAGCTGGCTGTGTTTGGGTTTATTTCCTCTCATCCTGTAATGAACTACTAAGAATACAAGATTGGGGGCACACTATGGCAGGACGAGTTACCCATAAAACGGGGGGAGCAAAATGTGAGTGCAACCGAAAGCTGGAGGACACAGGAAATCATCACTACACTCTGCGTGGCTCCTGGGCTCCCTCAGAGGCCTGGGCTGCATGTGGCAGGCACTTCCCGTGCATATGGCCTCAACTGCTGCTACAAACTGGCAATTAAATTCAATGGTGCCGTTTAGCATGACAGCTGCTTCTCTGCATGGCTTACTTAAATTTTAAGGCTATATTCTGTGCAGGCCTTATGTGGGGAATTACAGGGAGGTAGATGGTGCAAACACGGCTTAGCCTGGAGAGGCAGGGATGTGACGTGGCGCATTTACTGCTCTACTATCTATGCCATTGTAGAAGCCAACACCAGTGCAACTTAGCTCACTGGGAGAGGGGCGGGGCCGCTAAGCTGTGCCTTTTGGAGAAATGGAGGGAAGAGCCGCAATATAAGGCGTGGGGTGGGACTAGCCACCTGACCCTAAGCAAACACGGCTTAGCCTGGAGAGGCAGGGATGTGACGTGGCACATTTACTGCTCTACTATCTATGCCATTGTAGAAGCCAACACCAGTGCAACTTAGCTCACTGGGAGAGGGGCGGGGCCGCTAAGCTGTGCCTTTTGGAGAAATGGAGGGAAGAGCCGCAATATAAGGCGTGGGGTGGGACTAGCCACCTGACCTTTGGCAGATGCAGATAGCTGCCTGGCCTGCCTGGAGCTGGAGGGTAAGGAGTAAGGCAGCCTAAAAGGATGCCGGCCCAGGAGACAGGTCTGAATGCCAGCTCCATCCCGGGCCGCTATGTGACGAATACCACATAGCTATGTAGGAAAATCGCTTAATGTCCTCAAGCCTGTTTCCTCATTTTGGAAAATGACATGAGAACAGGACCCGCCTTACGGTGGGGGTGGGGGGTGAGGATGAAATGAGAGAATGCCTGTGCGAAGTGCTGGACAGTGCTCGGCTTCGACAGAACAAATCCAGCCCGACGGTAGCTGGATCTCAGTGTGGATTGTGGTAGGGTCTCCCGCCTGGTTCGCGTTCAGAATGCCAGCGTGGTAAAACGCCGCCAGAGGTTTCCGCAGAGCTGTTATTTTAGTTCCTGCCAGACTTCTGATCTCACCGGATCTCTGCAGAGGAAGTGTAATCGCCCCACTTTCTAGTCCAGACCACGGAGGCTCCGACGAGTGAGAAAACCGCCCCAGGACACACCTGTCTGTTTCACAGGTGAGGGGCCCAAAGAGATGAATAATCGGAATAGAGGAATCCTTTTAATGTGAAAAATATTTTCGTTATAGAGAATGGCGATGATAATATGTAGGGGGAACGGGGTGGGGAGCGGGTATTGAAAGTAATTAGAATAATCCATAAATCAGGAAAAAAAGGACCGATAAGAGTAGTAGCAGATAGGGTTTCTCAGAAAGCATAAAACACCCCACTGATGTATATAACACAATGATTTTAATAGCTAAATATTTTAATGTGTATCAGAAAAATGTACTCTCTTCAGTAAACTCGGTATTTCCGATAATAAGACTCAAGATTAAACTCAAGTAGGCGGCACTGGGGATGACCCCCCCCGCACAGACCGCGAGCCTCCACGCCCGGG